ACACAAAGACTTTTCTCCAGTTTACGCACATTGTCTCTGCTTACGTAGAACCTTAAGTAGGTCATAAAAGCAGTTTATTTTACACAAAATGTTTACAGTCACGAGCAACCTGGGCTTTAGTATCTTGCCCAAGGGCAACTGGCACTAGGAGATACCAGGAAGCAAACAGCCAACCCTGCAACAGATAACCTGCTTCTGTTATATGAGCCACAGCCACCTTTGTGCATGGCTACATGTACACATACACAGACATATTCTAGTTAGTTTTATCTACATGTCAAATACAATGCACATGCATATAAGCAGAACAAAGACTCCCCCCTCTGTACAGTGTAAATAGGACAGATCGGGAAAGAGAGAAGATCTGAGAAGCAAAAAGAAGGAGATCAGATAACTTACTGATGGGGGGAAGTTGATGGGATAAATAGGAATAAATAGTGAGGAGAGGGGTTGTTACATCGACCCCCTGATGTTTTTATCAGGAGCTAAAAGCTAAAATCGTCTTATTATATTTATATTAGAACTCGTTTTGCATTTGAAATGCTGTTCTGTACATATAATATAATATATGGCAGCATAAGCACTCAGGAAATAGTGCTTATGGATATGACCCTGATAACAGCATTTCATTAAATCTAACCTCCCACCTGCCCCCCAAGGATGTTCATGTGAATATTAAATCACTTACCTGCTGATCAAAGCATATTTTATTAGTTGAGTGGGCATATTACTGATAATAGACAAATATGAAAGCGTAAATACAGCTTTTATTTATTTACTGCAGTTCAGGCGCACAGTGTGTCCATATAACAGTGTGTGTATGTTAGTCCTGGAATTTTGTAATGTTATATTAATTATTCAAATGTTTTCATTGTTGTTCATTCATAAATCAAACAAACAGACTTGTCATTGTACATTAATTCACTGACTTGTATTTCTGATTCGTATTTTTCTTAACATTTACCAAAGGGCTGTATTATTGTTATATGTCTTACCATATAAAGCGCCCTGTTGTCATTTGGCGCTGTATAAATAAAACAGAATAATTTAACGGGTCTGGCTGTTTAAACAAGGCTACTGTCGGCTTTTTCGTATCTGTATAAAATCCATTTAAATTATGCCCAAGGCGTCCTTAAACTCACTTCACCCACCGTTTCAGGGAGGCATAAACCGCTGTGACAGTATTTCTTTACAAATCAATGGACTGCACAACTGATGACATTTATATGGAAGACCTGCATAGTTTTTGTCCTGTAAGTCGTTTAACATCACACGCAAGTGAACATACTCAAAGCAGAAAAATATTCCCCAAAATCACTCACCATTGATGTTCCAGAGAGGCTGAAGCCCTCCAACTCCGTTACTGTCGTTACTCATGATTCATGGCGCTGAACCGACAACAGCCAAGACGACACTTTTCTCTCCCTTCTTTTCTCTTTTTGCTCTCGTCCACGTTGTTTTTCTTTCTCCAAGTTTTCTACCCACTGTCACCTTTGCGTAGCCCTTCTAAGATGTTATCCTCCGCTCCGCTTTTCCGTCAAGCGCACTCACAGTTCACATTATGTTCCTCCTGCTTCTGTTGTTTTCTCTTTAACCAGTTTTCAGAGTGTAGTTTCCCTCCCTGGATGCTTTTTCTAATAATAATAATAATAATAATAATAATAATAATAATAATAATAATAATAATAATAATAATAAATCAACAGCTGTTATAGGCTTAACACCTATCCATATCCCAGGCTTCGCTCATTGATCGGAAATCCAAAACGTGCCCGCTCAGCTTCAGCGAAACGGTTCTCGTTCTCGCGCGCACCGCACGTTCGTTCTCTCACAGCCTGTAAAGAAGGAGCGCGAGGAAGGAAGAGAGACGGGGAAAAGACTTGTGATGTCATGTCCTTCAGCCAATCCCGGTAAATAACTTGGCATTGAACGTTGACTCACAGTGCTGTTGTACCAAAATGTTAGTTTAGGGATGCTAATAAGTCACTCCTGAGAATTAGCAGGTTGATATTAATACTTTAATTTAAAAACATGAAGTTCAGCTCAGTACATTTTTTTTTTTTACTAAATTTGTGGTTAAGTTTGCAAAAGCTGGAGATGGGAAAGCAGAGAAAGGAGAGCTGTGATAAGAGCAGAGAGGAGCGGGGAAATGCATTTTTGTGCATTTAGCGAACTAAAGAGTTTAGAAATGAGGCTGTCTAAAAATAAATTTTTAAATAATTTTTTTTGTTTGTTTGTTTGTTTTTTGTTGTTGTTTTCTGTGCGTGGGTTGTTGTTTTTTGTTTTTCTTCCCTTTTTCCTTTTTTTCTTTCTTTTTTCTGTTTTATTATCATCCGAATTTTAATGGCCTAATTTGTTTTGATATATGTCCTTATATCGGTTGGTACTTGCTGTATTGGGCCTGATATGTCAAATTACATGTGCAAAACTTTATAAATAAAGCGGGGGGGAGAAATGAGGCTGTCTATAACCAGCAAGTAAAAACCAAATGCTATGATATCAGTTTTCTTCCACAAGGAGTGAAAATCATTTGCAAGAAATACTGCTTCAAGCCATAAACTACCATAAACCCTTTACTGTATCAACCAGCTGTCTTTGTTTCACTCATTTGAAATGAAATAGGTCCTCCAAAGGAGCCCCAGCTGATGTTAAGCTGTCACTGTCAGCACAGTAAGTAGCTTTAATTGTGACAGAAAAAAGAAACACACACAACCTACTGGTGTTGAAATAAATGAATAACTAAAATATTAGACAACAAAAGAACATGTGCCCCAGAAGTGGCCTCTTTCTCTGCTCCATCACCTTTTTCTGAGCAGTTCTGAGCATCTCAGCTGAACAACTGAGGTGGGCTGCTAATCAGAGTGGAATTAAGAAAAATAATGACGACCAAGCTCTACAGCTTGATGAACTAGCAGCTCATGGAAATGACATTGTTATATCACTCTGGTAAGCCAATTTAGCACATTAGAGCATATTCTATTAATAAAATGTTAGATCCCTTCCAGCTAAAGGATATTAATGTTTTAAAGACAGACACTGCAAACGATGACACGTACCTTCCACGAACCAGCAAATGCTGGAGAAAGCACTGAGATGATGTCGTTAAGAGGTTAGACTGAGAGGCTGATGTCTCAAAATGCAGAGGGCAGTTATATGACAAAGGGAAAAATACAAAGAAACAAAAACAAAACAACACTGCTCATGCTGTGCAGCCTAAAGTTAATTATTGCAGATGTTCCAAAATTACAGAGCAGTGTTTGAGTCTCTTTGCGGTGCTTATTTAAGTCTTATATATAAATATATACACTGCCAGTCAAAGGTTGGGACACACCTTCTCATTTAATGGTTTTTCTTTATTTTCATGACTGTTTACACAGTTATGCTCTGCTCAGTAAACAAAAAAGTGTGAAGCAACTCAAAACATGTTTTATATTTTAGATTCTTCAAAATAGCCACCCTTTGCTATTTGTACACTTTGGCATTCTCTCCATGAACTTCATCCCACATACCAGATCCGGCCCACACAGTGTGCTTACACATGGCCCACATACCGGAAAGAATGACGGCCCTTTGGTGGCCTTTCAGGTTTGCCAGAGATGGCCCACACATGGACCAGTTGCATACACACTGGTGGTGCTGCTCTGGCCCCAGATGTCAGCCTAATGTGTACCTTAATCAAGCCATGCAATAACGAAATGTGCCGGAACATAATAGTGCCACAATAGCATGACAGAAACCTGTTCAGACAGTGAATGGACTGATTCTTATGTAGCACTTTTCTACTCTCGCAGGTTACTCAAAGTTCTCTATACAACATGCCACATACACACTTTCTCTAAGCTGAGTGCTTCCTAACTACATTTATACACATTCACACTCTTGACATGCAGACTGGAGGAGCCAGGAATCGAACCACTAACCTTCCGATCATTTGGTGACCCGCTCTACCTCCTGAGCTTCAGCCACCCACTGGTGGAGTAAACCCTTACTAGGGTTTGGATAAAATGTACACATCTGTTTAAACTGGTTTATTCGCTTTAGTGCTGATTTTATCTGTTGTCAAGCTCTGTTTTGCAATTTTAACTTATTTTATGTATTTTATGTATTTTATGTATTTTATGTATTTTGTATTTTGTTCTTTGTAAGGTGACCTTGGGTTTCTGAAAGGCATCATCAAATAAAATGCATTATTATTATTATTATTATTATTATTATTATTATTATTATTAT